ACTCAACGAATGCCCCAGCGGCTGTCATGCACTTCACATTACTCTCTAATCCTTAAGCACACAGGTGCTTATTCTTAAATTCTTTCATGCTTTTATTTACTCATTAATGAACAGGTATGGTCTGTTTCCCTTGGCACTTCTGGTTTAGTAGAAGAGAAAGAGTTCCCAGGGAAATGGCCAGAAAGAACTATAGAGTTGCTTGCAGGGGTGGGAGTATTTAAGGCAAGAGTCTGTATTAGTCTATGCTGCTATAACAAAGAAGCCCCGGGACTGGGTAACTGGTAATTCATAAGCAATAGAAATGTACTTCTCAGCATTGTGGAGAAGAACAAGCCCAAAGCAAGGTGCTGGGAGATTCTGTGTGTGGAGAGGGGTCTGGCCTCTTCATCCAAGATGGTGCCCTGCTCCTGTATCTTCTGGAGGAAAAGGACCCTGTGTCCTCTTAGCAGAGGTAGAAAAGAAAGAACCCATCATCCCACATCTTTTTGTAGTTAACCTCAAACCTGGGTCCTAAGAGCTGTACTCCTTGAGCCAGGATCAGACGGACGAGCTAGTGTCTGGCTGTGGTGGCCAGTGGGGGAGTCTCTGAAACCGGACCAAAGGCCTTTAAGTTCTCTATGTTCCTCCCAGTACTCCCCCACACAGTCCTGTAAGGAACCTCGGTAAACCCATTGGTTCACTAAATTGGATTCTTGTGGTGTCCTTACTTTGTTTCTTCTTTGGCTCCCTGTCTAGGTGAGTAGATGTTTGTCCATGACTCTCCAGGAAAGATGTCACACAATAATCAGAGAGGAAGCCTAGTTTGAGTTAGACACTACATGCTGTAGAAAGACATGAGAATTCCAAACACTGTCAGGGCAAAATAATTTACAAAAAAATTTAATCCAAATACAAATTCTCAGGAGGTAGACTTGACAGTGTGGGGAACACAGTCATGATCCTTGGGCGCCCCCTGCAGGCACAGGATCAAATTACTTCTTGCTAGAGAGATTTGCCCATTCCTGCCATTCAGACTTATGGGCTCCCTCGCCAAGCAGAGTGAGCATAGAGCCATGTTGCAGGTTTTTTATTTTTGGGGGGTGGGGAGGAGGGAACACAAACATACATACTTCCACAAAACGAATACACTCATTATCCCCGTGTGACATACTCTATAGCTGGGGTGTGTTTGCACACACTAGTGAATGCTGGTTTCCAGTGGATTTTGTGTTTTCTGTATCTTTTTGCATGCCTCCCCAGCAGAGTTCTCATGACAGAGTTGCATATGTTCCTTATCTTTTTGTGCATGCTTGCTGGGGGCACACGATCCTTATTTAAGTATTTGGTTCGGCCTGTCTCCTATCACTAGATGGCAAGTTATAAGAGGACAGGGTGTTTTTTCTGTTTTTGATACGTAGCATCCCCAGTGCCTGGCATCCTTTTGGTTCAATCAATGCGCGCCACTGGCTACAGAGTCTCCACTGACCTGTAGCCAGACACTAGCTCTCCCTTCTGAGCTGCTCCAAGGGTTCCAGAGTCAAGGATCATCTGCGGTTTGTGGTGTTATACAAATGAGTTCCTTGAAAGCGGAGCCACCGGGAGCCCCAGGTGCCGAGATTCAGCTTTCTGTGTGCAGCTGCTAAGGAGCGGAGTGCAGAGGGCAAAGACTCCTCGGGAGGGGTCTGAGTTCATTTTACCCACAGAGCCTGCCGGTAAGCTCACAATGAGCAAGGAATGCATTGTAATGATAGGAGACAGACCGTAATCAAATGGGTACATACATTATATACTACAATAACAGTTCTCAACCTGTGGGTCATGGCCCATGGGGGTCGTTGAAGGCCTTTTTCACAGGGCTCACATATCAGTTATCCTGCATAGTAGATACTTACATTACAGTTCATAACGCTAGGAAAATTACAGTTATGAAGTAGCAATGAAACAATTTTATGGCTGGGGGTCAGCACAGCATCGCAGTACGAGGAACTGTATTAAAGCGCTCCGCATTAGGAAGGCTGAGAATCACGGCACTGTAAGCAGACAGCTGAGCTCTGTCCCCCTCCCTCCGTTGTTCCGTTGCGTGCCCGTGTGAGGACTGATGTCTGAAGAAGCCACGGGAGGGATGGCCGAGGCACAGAGTGCCCAGCCCGGTGCCCAGTCCGGTGCCCAGCCCGGTGCCATGCCTTCATTGTCTGCTGCTCAAGCCCATCCCTGTCCCACATTGCTTGGTTGGCAGGTGAGACGGTGACCCTTGCCCCAAGTTCTCAGCTCCTTTGTCCTCAGAGCTCAGAGCTCTGTGCCTGTCTCAAGGCTCAAGGACGTTAACAGTGGTCCTGGTCGCTGAGGAAAGCCTCCTGCCTCCCAGGCCTCTGGGTGGACAGCCTTCTCAGGCTACCAAACTTGAGCGAGTAGCAGTCATATGGCTGAACCAGTTTAAATACTTAAAAGAATTAATTTCAGCTGCCCATGGTGGAACTCACTTTTGATTGCAGCAATGGCAAAGGCAAGAGGATCTCTGAGTTCAAGGCCAACTTGGTCTACGTAGCTAGTCCCAGGAAAGACAGAACTACGTCAAGAGACACGGTCTCCAATAAACAAACAAATAATTTGATAAAAATTAAATTTAAAATCCAATTATCTTCCAGCAACCTACCATCTGAGCTGTTGAATCTGTTATATTGCTCTAGAGCCTTTTGGGGTCACTGCCTTTGGCTTCATCCCCTCCTGGCTGCTCATTCCATTCTAGTGTGTCCTCTGCAGTGGCCAGTGGCACACAAGTTAAGGCCAACTTCAAGTGTGGTCTGCATGCCAGTGCCTTCAGCTTGTAGCTTTCCCTGGCCCTCCCTCCCTCCCTCCCTCCCTCCCTCCCTCCCTCCCTCCCTCCCTCCCTCCCTCCCTTCATTTTTTTAATGTGGGCTCTGGGTATCGAACTCAGGGGCTCATGCTTGAGTGTAAATACTTTACCAAAGGAGACGGAGCCACGCCCCCAGCCTCCCTAGCTCCTTTTTAGGTAGCACTGCCACTTCAAAGCTTGCTGAAGAACTGGGAAAAGAATTTCTCCCTCCTCCCGGCCCGCCCAGCTGGGTGGCACCCAGCGCTCCCCCTGCTGCTCGTGGCTGGACTCTCAGGCCGTTCTATTGGCCGCACGTGGTGTTTATGCCGGCCGAGAGGAAAGCCGCCTGTCCCTTTAATTGGAAGGTACCAACTCTTTCCAGGTTATAGTTCCTCCCTGAGTCCTTGTCCTTGGAATTCACCGTCAGAGACCTCGTTGGAGGCAGTGTGGAGACGGGGCTGTGTTTCAGGGGGGCTTGGCTCATCGGGGCCCCGAGCGGGACCTCGCGGGGGTGGCGCGCGCCCGGCTGGTCTTCCCCTGCGTCCCGTGGACCAGTCCAAGATGGCGGCCACCATGAAGAAGGCGGTGAGTGTGGCCGGGCCGGGATCCCGGGCGGCGTGGGCGCGGCGGCCGGGGGGCTGAGGAGATGCGGGACGGGGTGGGGGTCGAGGAGACGAGGGGCGCAGGTGGCCGGGGGTCTGAGGAGATGCGGTATCTGAGGGGCCGGGGCCACGGGATGCGCAGTGCGGGGAAAGCGTCCAATCTGCCCGGGCTCGTGTGTCTCCTCCTCCGGGACCGGGTTGGTCTCTGCATCCCGGGGGACCCGGTGCCGCAGCCTCTGGGCTCCGTCCATGCTCCGTGCCCCGGTGCCCTTCAGGCGAAGGCTGGAGTTAAATGACGTTAGAGGAGCCGGCCCGAGGGAGCGCGGTGCTTACGCCGGATTTCCCCTGCTCCTTAGGAAGGACGCGGGTCCTCCCATCCTCCCCATTCCACTCCCCGCACTTGACAGTTAGCCATCCCCTGGTGACTCATCTGGCAAGGTGCTGTGTCAGGGGATTTGGTCTGTTCCCAAACCACGGCTCTTTATTATTTTATTATAAAACGACACCCAATAATTTGTGCCAGGGGCTCACTCTGTGGTGTCGTATCACACCTTTAGAAGACTTGGTCTTCCGTGTGTGTTCTAGCCTGAAGATGATTTTGAATTTCTGATTCTTCTACCTCCACCACCCAGCTTGCAGTTGCTGGGATTACAGGTGTTTGCCACCACATCTGGCTTTTGGTGTGTTGATGGGTTGAGTCCAGGGCCTCATTCATGATGGGCAACTATACTACATGGCTGTCCGATCCTCTGCTCAACTTCCATTATAACCCAAAGGGATTTCCACATGTGCAGTCTAAGTAGGAAAAAGAAAATCGCAGAAAGAAAAATAACATTTGGGGTTCTACGGCGTGTTCGGTACTGTTCTTAGTGTTTGGGTGTTGTTTATTTTTATATACTATTTAAACCTTTGGGGGATTGTGTTTTTATCCTTATTTAGCTGATGAGGAAACCGAAGTACAGAAGAAAAGCTGGGATTTAAACAGCATTCTCACTCCAGGCTCTTTTTTTTTTTTTAAGTGTGTATATGTGTGTGTGTGTGTTTAAGGGGAGTCCTACCTGCCTTTCATCCCACTTTTTTTTTTTTTTTTTGACACGGTTTCTCTGTAGCATTGGTGCCTCTCCTGTCTCTTGTAGACCAGGCTGGCCTCGAACTCACAGAGATCCGCCTGCCTCTGCCAGCCCCCCCCCCCCCAGTGTTAGGATTAAATGTCGTTGGTGTTCTTGCTATCTAGTGACCACTGAATGGTGATGGTCAGCCCTTCCAGTTTCTGTAAGAATGGATGATCGCCGAGACTGGGAACGCGTCACACAAAGTGTTAGACAGTAGTAGCAGAGTATGGTTCAAGATCTGGTGATTTGGCCAAGTAGGAAATGGGTTCCTCTTGTCTTTTTTGTTAGATTGGGCCCCAAATGTTATACTGTTTAGTTATGTGATAAACACTGAGGTTTGTCCCTGGTTTTGTGTTTTTGTTGGTTTGTTTGTTTCTTTTTTTTTTTTTTTTTTTTTTTTGAGACAAGGTGTCACTGTGTAGCCTTGGCTGGTCTGTAGCAGAGGTCGGACTGTCAACTGAAGTTGGTGAGAACTTTTTTTTTCTGGGCACCCAACTCTTAGTACCTAAACTTGGTTTGCGTCCTCTGACACTCCCAGAAGATGCTACAAGAAAAGGGTATTGACAAGGCTCGGGGCATTTTACTTTTCTCTTGGCTCCAGAGCAAGTCACGTCTCTTACACCTAGCAGAACTCCCTAACATCTGTCATGATCCCTCCCGCCGTTCTTCCCTTCCTTCATTTATTTTTAATGGAGTCTCATTAGCTCAGGCTGGCCTCAGAGCCACTGTGCAGCTGCGGATGAACTTGGACTCTCAATCCCCCTGCCTCCACTTCCTGACTGCTAGGCCGCTGCAGGTTTGTTCCACTACACCTGATTTTATACAGTTCTGGGGGTGGACCTCGGCTTCACCTGTGCCGGGCGAGCACTTCAGCAGCAGAGCTAGCCTTGTATCGAACGTTGGAAGCAATACTGAGCAGACAAAACACTTAGCTATCGTTTGTCGAAGGGTAATTGCACACCCAGGCCCTGTGCTTGGTACTCATTTTACCATCCCTGCAAAGGTAGGAGTAACTTCTTCATTTCACAGATGAGAGACAGATCAGGGGCAGCTTCAGGGATTTAAGCAAATTACCTAAAGTTGTGCATGTGCGGTTTGGAGTGTGCCCTGCCTCTCTTTCACTGCTGCCTTCAGTACTAGAAAAGAACTGGTTTCACTGGTTGCTGCAACTGGCTTCAGTTAAGGCAGGAGTTGCTTGCCCTCATGAAAGCTACCAAGACCCTTCCAGAGAATGTGCACGCTGTATCCTGGGCATGCTCACCTTGCGATCTTTGGTCCCAGGATAGCTGTGAATGTGGCCCAGTCCATCTGTAGATGGCATCATGTCACAGTGTCGAAAGGTTGGACACCCCTGCAGTGCCTACCTAGTGTGCATATGATGTGTGTGGGCTCAACCAACTTCTTGATGTCTTTGCATCCCAGCTAAAAGTTACTGTCTCTCTGCCAGAGTGCAGTTCAAGAAATGTAGACGCGGGGTTGGGGGCAGCTGTATGGTAGAGTGCTTGCCCAGCTTGCCCCCTTGGTTCTTCCCCTAGCACCTTAAAAAGAAACAAGATGTGTTATAGGAGCGGCTGCCTTCAGGGCCCACAGGTGCCAATGTCTTAGCTGCTGCTGGGGACCACCCCCTGACACAGGGTGAAGTAGCACCCTGCCTTTAACTTACTGACTACAGTCTTTAACCACTGGGAGAAAAACCACTTCAAGGAACTGGGTCCTACAGGTGCCAATCCCTGCTGTTTGGTAGGGCTACACCAGGAAATGCCTGCTTTGGGAAGATAGAAAATAGCCAACCAACTTGAAGCACTCTTTGTCATCCAAATATTAATAGTCTTATCGGTCATATTCCAGTATCAGATCAGATTCCAGTTCAGAAACTTCTCTGCCCAGTTGCTTGTCAAACAGGTCCTGCTAGGCCAGTGGCTCTCAACCTTTCTAATACTGCGACCCTTTAATACAGTTCCTCATGCTGTAGTGACCTCAACCACAAAATTATTTTTGTTGCTACTTCCTAATTAATTTTGCTACTGTTATGAATTATAATGTTAATTATAATTATAATCTGTGTTTTCTGATAGTCTTAGGTGACCCCTGTGAAAAGGTTGCTCAACCTCCCTCCCATAGGGACATGACCCACAGGTTGAGAACCACTTTCACCTAAATTACCTTTAAATTCTTCATGGTGATAGAGTCCTCTATAAATGCCTTCTAGGGCTTGGAGGCTCACTTGGAAACAAAACACTGTTAACATCCAAGGTAAACAGAAGTCTTCAGGGTTCTCTGTCTAGGAGATTGGAAATTCTCACAGGCAAAGCAACCAGGGTGCCAGGCTGTCTGCCTTGGGGTTGCTCAGCGTCCAGTGCTCCTCCTCGTGTTGGTAGACGCTCCAGTGTTGAACCTCCATGCCGTGCACACCACGGTGGGAAGGGCTCTTCCGGCTTGCACTTTGGGTCTGATGCAGAGCTGCTTCCTAGGTTGAGAGCCTGATGACCTGTCTCTGTCCAGACCACTGAGCCGTGCTGTCTTTCATTCTCTGGAGAATTCTGTGTGCGCACCTCGTGCCCTAGCTTACTGGAGACCGGGAGCCGGTGCTGTGCTGTGTGCTTGTTGAGAGTTAGTGTCACTGCTGGCAGAAGAACCAGCCCTTCTTACTTTAAGTCCCTGAATTGGTTAGTTCCAATCTGAGATACTATCTGTAAGTGTGAATATATATATGTGGAGCTTCATTGGGTAAAGTTTTAGTTTTGTTTGTATATGTGTGCATGAGGGCACACGAGGGCTTCGGGTGCCCTGGAGCTGGCGGTAAGCAGTTGTGAGCTGCCTGGTGTGGGTGCTGAGAACTGAGCTCAGGTCCTTTAGAAGAGCAGCAGGCATTCCTAGCCATGACATCTCTATCTCTCTAGTACTTCGAGCTTTCTGAGACACAGTTTCTCTATGTATCTAAAGCTAGCTTCAAACTTGTAATCCTCCTGCCTCAATCGCTCATGCTGAGACGGGCATCATGCCCAACTAGTAGGACCTGTCTTTACACACACACACTTTTACTCCCTTTTAAGCTGTTGTCAAGTACTCCTGTCCTTATTTTAATAAATACTCTGTAAGGAAAGGTTGGTATTTAGTTTCCTTTTTGAATACACTGAAACCCCTCTAAGATTCTGAAGCAATCCAAGAACTTCTTGCCACATCTTCTAACTGAATAGGAATTCTCATACCTGAACATGTATGGGCATGCATATGTATACTTGACTCTGAGGACAGATCGCCTGCATTTAAATCAAAGTCTATTCATTTACTGGCCACGTGGTTGGCACAAGTTATCTAAACTCTGAGGTCGCTGGTCATCTGTGAAGTGGCGACATTGGTGAACCCTTGTGGGATTAGCAGGGCTCTCAGCACACGGGAGGGGCTCAGGCAGCGTTCGCTCTTCCTGTTATTGCATAGATAATCTGTTGTCTACACACTTAGCTTTGTCTCCAGCTCTGTCACATCAAGTGTTAGGTATGATACGTTCAATTTCGTCACCTTGTGGTGAGCTCACTGCATTAAAATAAACACAGATTTTAACTGTATGAACTAGAACCGCTGAAATGCACGGTGACTCTCTAGCAGTGTGTCAGGTTGAGAGCTGGAGAAGGACCGTGTTTCTGCCCGTACAGCACACATACGATTTGTACCTCAGAGACAATCTGTGAGATTCACTAAGGGGGTTTGACTGTGGAATATTTTGCTTCCTGGGGATGTCTTGGTGAAACAATGACCCAGCTTGGGAAATTCTGCCTTTGGGCAAGTTGACTTTTCTTTTTATCATCATTATCATCATCATCATCATCATCATCATCATCATCATCATCATCAGGACTTTTAGTAATTGCTTCTTTATATTTCAAATATTTGTTCACAGTGGTCCTATAGAATAATGAGAAGATGGTAGAGTGGAGACCAGCTCTTGAGTGTGACACACTGGTGTCTCATGGCCACCTCCGCTGTCTTAGGTTCACGATCAGCTCATGAGTGTGACACACTGTGGTGTCTCATGGCCTTGAGCCCCTCTGCTGTCTTAGCACCAAGATCAGCTCATGAGTGTGACACACTGCAGTGTCTCATGGCCTTGAGCCCCTCCGCTTAGCATGGGTGGTGTACTTGCTCACTGCAGCCCAGCGTAAGCTGCCGACCTATAACTTCTCTATTGAAATTCTACAGAAAACTAAATATCTTTTTCAGGCTGCAGAAGATGTCAATGTTACTTTCGAAGATCAACAAAAAATAAACAAATTTGCTCGAAATACGAGTCGGATCACAGAGCTAAAGGAGGAAATAGAAGTGAAGAAGGTACCCATGCACACATCTGTTTTAGAAGGTCATACTGTAACCCTTAACACTGAACTGTGTTTAGCGAGTGTTTGCTTCCTCGTGGCTCCTTGTCCCTGGTGACACTGTCTGCCATCACTGGAGACACTGTCTATTTGATCAGTTAAATACAAAGTCTGTTTTTGTTTGTATTGAGGTAGAGTTCTGCTCTGTCAAACTGTTCTACAGTTTACTTTGTAGCTGAGGCTAGCCTCAAACTTGTAGTCCTACCTCAGCCTCCTGACCTGTCTGGTTATAGGTGACTACAAGCCCAGCTCGAGAGGTCATTTGTGCACCTAAGTGGGGGGTGGGGAGTAACAGTGAGCGAGACTTTTGAGTCTGGTGCGGTATCCCCAGTGCAGTTCTGTACCCATGTCTGAGGATTTGCCTGGGGATAAACTGCACTTGTGTTTACTGATCCTGCAGCCCTACAGACAGACGCAGGGACATGAGCTGCTGCTGCATGTCCTATGACTCGAGGCCGGTGTTCGGCTTTTCGTGTACTCTGAGAGGCTCCAGTCCCAGTGCACTCATTGGTTTTCATCAAGCAAGACCGAGAGGTGTATCGTCTGGTGTTTTGGTTTATATCTGTGGGATGATAGGATTTGCAGTGTGGGGAATTTTTTTTTTAAGATTTATTTATTTATTATGTATACAACATTCCTTCCACCAGATCTCATTATAGACGGCTATGAGCCACCATGTGGTTGCTGGGAATTGAACTCAGGACCTCTGGAAGAGCAGTCAGTGCTCTTAACCTCTGAGCCATCTCTCCAGCCCCCAGTGTGGGGAATTGTTAAACAGAAGGGGGTGGTCATGGTCCCTACTGACCACCACAGAGAAATAAGAGCCTTGGGACATTCTAGAGCTACCCGGAAGATGCTGTGCTGGCTCCTGAGCGAGTCCATGGACGCATCTCCATGTCTGACAGTAGCTAGGATGCTGGTCCCTCAGAGAGCCTATGTCCCTGCATTACTCTACTCTTGGTTCCATCAGGAAATCTTGACCGTGTTTCCATGGCTGTTCTCTTGCCTGACAGAAACACCTGCAGAATTTAGAGGATGCTTGCGACGACATCATGCTGGCAGATGACGACTGCCTGATGATACCGTACCAGATTGGAGATGTCTTCATTAGCCACTCTCAGGAAGAAACCCAAGAAATGTTAGAAGAAGCAAAGGTATGCGGGCATCTTGTCCTGGGTGGCGGAATCTCACTCTCAGATCGGGAAGCCTGGCATAAAGAACACGTGACTGCGGGAGGAGGGCGATGTGGTGCCCGCTGGCACTTAAGTGTTGGTGCAGTGGCCCAGGCTCTGAGCACTCACAGGTGTGGTTTTGTTCAATCCAGATAGCACAATTTAGAGTGAGGAGCAGAGGCCCAGAGAAGTTTCAGGACTTAGAAAAAGGCGCACGGCTGTGGTTGTCCGGCCCCCAGAACTTTGGTTCCAGCTGAGAACCTGGAGGATGCAATAGCATGTTACACAGTCGAAAGGAATCCCTGGGAGCCGCCCTGTCTGATGGTGCTGTCGGTGGTGAACCTGCTCTGTTAGCCTCCCCTCCCCGTCTCCTCTTCTCCCCCTCTGTGTAACTCTGCTCTCTGGGTCAGTTAACATGGTGCCCGAGCATTTTCTCTATTGGATGCTTGTTTATATAGCAGAGCACACTGAGTGGGAACCATGCAGGCCTCCAACACCCCACTGTCTTATGACTTGTTTGAGGCCATCTTAATATTGTGTTGATGGGCATTGATTTGCTCCCTGTGCCCTTATTAGCGTTAATTTGTTTCCGATATTTTGCTATAGTAATGTTCCACTGAGGGATCTTATGCATAAGTCTTTTTAGTTCATTTTACATACCAACCACAGTTCCCCTCCTTTCCCCCTCGCTTCCCCCAGCCCCTCCCCACTCCCTCATGCCTCAGAAAGGGTAAGGCCTCCCATGGGGAGTCACAAACCTTGGCACATTAAGTGAGGCAGGACCTCCCCCCCCATCAAGGCTGAGCAAGGTATCTCACCATAGGGAAAAGGCTTCAAAAAGCCAGCTCCTACACCAGGGATAGATCCTGGTCACACTGCCAGGGGTCCCACAAACAGACCAAGTCACACAACTGTCAGCTACATGCAGAGAGGCCTAGTTCAGTCCCATGCAGGCTCCCAGGAGCTTTGGTCAGCTGTCTCTGTGGGATCCCCATCATAATCTTGATCCCCCCCCATGCATAAGTCTTGGTTCACATCTCTGTGGGTTCCCCATCATGATCTTGACACCCCCCCCCCCCCATGCATAAGTCTTGGTTCACATTTAGAAGCTTGTTTTCAGGAAATGGGGAGAAGTGTGGTTCTGGGGTTGAAACTGCTGCTTTAGCAGTGCCTAGTGAGAGGGCATCCAGCCTTTGGTGAGAAGTGGGTCACAGTCGCCCCGACACTGTTGCTTCATTAGCTCAACTGTTACTTAAAATGGTAGTCTCTGCTTCAGATTTCTGAGTCTTCCAGAGACGGAATCTTCGTCTGATAAACCTTGAGAAGGGGCTGGAGAGTTGACTCGGTGGTTATGAGCACTGGCTGCTTCTCCAGAATTCAAGTCTCAGCAGAGACTGGGAATGCAGCCACGACACCATGATGCGCTAGTACTGGCCTGAGTTAAATGTTTGCTCATTCAGACTTTGGTCTTGGATCCAGTTATTGCTGTCAGTTTGCTCCTGACCGGTTTGGAGCTCTTTCCCTAAAATTCCTGTCAAATACTACTCCACCCATGTATAAGTCATCCACCTGAAGCCAATTAATTTAACTGTTTCTTTTCCAGAGAACTTTGCAAGAAGAGATCGACGCCTTAGAGTCCCGAGTGGCGTCCATCCAGCGGGTATTAGCCGACCTGAAAGTGCAGTTATACGCAAAGTTTGGCAGCAACATAAACCTGGAGGCGGATGAAAGCTAAACATTTTATAATACTTTTTTTTTTTTACCTTGTTTAATAAACTTGAATATTGTCTTAAATGATAATTTCCCTTCTTTAAATGAAACGGAAGAAAACTTGCTTTTTTAAATTTTTCATTTAATTAATGGAAACTTGCCTATTTTCACATGTTTTGCTTATTTATTTTATATTTTTAAAAGAAGACAGTATTCATGTATGTATTTTGCATAATGATTATATCAATTTTAGGGGCTTTATGTCATGTTATTAAAAGCAGTTAAACACTGTTCGTTTCTACATTATCATTTTAAAATTCTTGCAATTTTCAATCTTAAGGAACTTTAGGAAGCTGGGCTAAAGGGATTGGTGACCTCAGGGCAAGATCCTGCCCAGCTAGGTTTTCAATTTACAAAGCAACTAAAGAAAAGTTTAGAGTGGGTGTGGCGGCACACAATCGCCGCACTCGGGAGGCAGTCGGATCTCTGTGAGTTCAAGGTCTATAGAGACATTCAGGACAGCAAGGCTACACTGAGGAAAAAAAAAAAAAAAAAAAAAGGAAAAGAAACCTTAGGACCAATCATTGGGTAAGAGCACTCCCCAACAAGTCTGAGGGCAGAGTTTGATTTCTGGGACCCACATGGTGGAAGGAGAGAAGCAGCTCCCCCAAATTGTCCTCCACACGCACCCCCCATAAAATGTTATGAAGTAGCTGCAGATATTTCAGGCAAGGAGAAGAAGGGTCATTTTTAAAAAGATTATTTTTATGCGTGTGTGTGCACTGTGTGCAGTCGCCGTGGGGCTAGAGGGTATGAGATCCCTTGGATCTGAAGGCATTGGCAGTCCGGAGCCTCAGTATGTGGGTGCTGGGAACTAAACCCAGGTCTTCTCTAAGAGCAGAGTTAGCTCCTCATCACCCCTCAAACACCTGCACCTGGGGGGATAGTTCTTCAAACCACCAGTGTGTCCTGGAGTTGGAGGGCCTGTGCACTACCTTCCCAGCAGAGGGCACTCATGTGCCAGAATACCCAGGGAATTGTCTTCATGTAAAAACTCAGGGTAAGATGAAACTCTACTTTCAGGATTAATAGAATTTTAGAAGAGATTGTTTAAACTCCAAGGGTCAGCATTGCAATGTTTTATTTTTGGTAAATGTTTGTAAATAAGCTTAAAGATGGATGGATATATAATTTCTAAATTCTCAACAAAGACACTTGTTTTAAGATTTATTAAATAGTAAATATTTAATATTTAGTGCAGGTGACTGTTGAAGCCAGAAGAAGGCGTCATATCCTCTGGAGCTGGAGTTACAGGCAGTTGGGAGCTGCTTGATAAGTGAGCAAAGATGCTGGAAGCCAAACCTGGGTCTCTGAAAGCAGCAAGCAGTCCTAATCCCTAAACCTACCTCTTTAGCATCAAGGTAGACTTATTTATTTATTTTGGGAGGAGTTCTTTAATATATTCCTCTGGCTGTCCTGAAATTTGTTATATAGATTATGCTGGAGAACTCACGGAGATCTGTTATGAGAATCTTATCTGTGCTGTGGCCCGTTGTTTAATTAGAGTCAGGCGTTGGTTCAAAAGGCAGGGTTTACATTCAGCTGGTCAGGATGGATTCTAGAATTTTCCCAGACTCAAGTAAGAGCTGGTGCCCCACTCCCACACCCCTAGGGCCCCTTTTCAGCTGGGAGGAGATGGAGATGGTGGATGGTGGGTTGTGGTGGTTGTGGCTGCCTCAGGTTCTTTTTTTTTTTTTTTTTTTAACATGTTGTCCCTGAGTTTTATAATAAACGTTAGAAGACATCACTATAGCGATCCACATACCTCTGCCTCCTAAATGCTTGAATTAAAGCTATGCACCACCAGGCCTGGCGTTCAAGTCAAGCTTAAATTGCTGCAAGAAGATTCTAGCAAATGACTCAAGGATTTTTCTTCTTCAAGCATTTGGTTAACGTGCTGTTAGAGAAATAAGGCTGGGAGGTAATCCAGTCAGGAGATGGGTAACAATTAGCCTGGTCAATATAATGAGGCTGTCTCAGAAGCCCAAACCAGGGTGTGGGGAGCTAGCTAGTGGTTAAATGTCAAGAGCCAGAGCTGCTCTTGCAGAGGACCCAGCAGCCATGCTGGGTAGCTCACATCCACCTCGAACTCAAGCCCCAGGCATCTGACATCCTCTTCTGACCTCCAGGGGCACCTGTACCCACACCCAGAAACATACATCATTGAAAATAAAATGTAAAAAACAAAACCCAAATCAAGAAGGAGGTTTGGGCATGAGGGTTCCGCCCCAGAAATATATCAGTGCTACCATAACCATTTACTATAGAATGAATCTCGTCCCTCTTGATTGCCCTTCTACCTTACGTGGTATGGCACAGCCAGAAGGTCCTGCTAGATGCTGGCTGTGTGCCCTGGAGCTGCCCAACCTCAGGGTTGTGAGAAGGCAGACTGTTCTTTAAAAATTACCTGCCCCAGGCAATCAGATTAACCACACAAACGAACTAAAACATAAGCCTGGGGTGATTCTGAAACAGAAAACTGGCCTGATTCAAATAATTTTATCCTTTAGGGGTCAGCAGGGGCACCAGAGCCCCACCTGACAGTCTGTAGCTCAGCCCCGTCTGTGGACCAGGTAACCTACAGGAGCATCCTGCTATTGGACCCAAGGACTTAGGGGTGGTGGGTGGCTGGAGGCACCCTGGCTTCTGGGAAGGAACAGGTCATAAAAGATTAAACTGTGGGTGATGTGAAAATATTCTTAGAAGGAAGTTAGTATGGAGGGAAGAAGGCAAGCTGCAGCCAAACACTGGTGCTGGGCGGAAGGCAAAGCCTTAAAGGATCAAACAGTCTGTCAGTTACCTGTGTCTCCAGGGTCGGATCCTGGCCCCCGCAGCCCTGACAAGCTGGGCTTGGCCACTTGTCCTTAATAGGCCAATGTAATAGTGAAAAACAGAGTGGAGGGAGATTTCTTCTGTGGCTGCAATGGGAAGAGGGGCAAATAAACAGGTACAGTGACCTCACTCAACCCAAGTCTGCCTTTGAGAGCGCTGACATTAGACTTAGGCTTAAATACACGGCAAGGAACATGGGTAGGTAAGTGGTTCCAGTCAAAGCGTGTTTCTG